CTCTCTCTCTCTCTCTCTCTCTCTCGGTTTACCGCAACTTACCATCCAATGAATGCAAACACTTTAGCTGAAATTTGGTACTTCGTTCACTAAAACTAGTTAGCCGTTTGTTGTCGCTATTATTCCACAGCGAACCAAAAATTTGTTCAGCACCTGACTATAACTTCAAGTACAAAAACGAAAAAAGTTAACTTCTTGTGGAAATCTTTTTTGTTGATGATGAAAAGACAACTAGAAATAAATGAACAAGCAGAAAATTATGCTCTCATATCGAATGTTTATATCAAGCAAAAACTAAAAGATTAAATAAGCAAAAAATTGAATTTTCACATGAGCTCTGTTTACAGCCGAAATGATCTTTCAATAGCCCATCTAGAACCACCTTCGACAAGCTAAAATCACAACATTTAATAAACGAATTCCCAAGGTTACTATGAGATAAACGTCTAAAAAATGATGCCCCATCAGTGAAGCTGGATTTAAATCAAAGTGGATGGATTTCAAAAGCAAGTAGCTCCACAAACCCATAAGTACCAAGTTAGCGTCCCAACAGTTTAATAAAACAAAAAGCTTCCTGACTGATAAGAAAGCGGATAAGGAACCTGTTCAACAGTATTTTGAAATGAAAATTTTTAAAAAGAAAACTGCAATGAGTAATGAGAGCAGTTTTTCAAAAAACATTACAAGATGAATAATCCCGTATTCTCTATGTGTGTACACCTAAGAATGGGTATAAAAAACATGATTAGAAAAGAATATAAAAACAAAATTAAAACTCAAGTGTTGCAATTACGGTCACTGAAACTATTGCAGTAGCAGAGGAGGAGAGAGTCATCAGGAGAATAAAATTTCCATTTAATTAAAAAATGATTTTTTCTCTGCTTTCATCTTTATTTCATCTCTCTCCTACCTCTTTTCTTCATTCTCATTCTTCACAACCCTCACATCATTCCATGGTTCAGCAATAACAAACCTAACGAAAAATCATAATTCTTCTCTCCACAGCACAACTAAACACACAAATAAGACAATAAAAAGTACAAAATTTTGTCATTTAAAAATGAATTCTTCCGGTGAAATTGAACTGGTATTATTTTAAAAAATGAATAAGGGATCGTTTTTCTTCTCTTTCTATTCAAAGGAATTCATGGATCTGAGAAAACAGGAAATTTAATCACAATAAATATGTACACGTATACTTACTCTCATTCGGTACAATTCAGAACAGTTCTGTCTAAACCATGCATTCTTGTCTTGCAAGGAATAAGGATATGAATAACCCTTTCTTGCGCTAATTAAGCCATTTCCGTAAAAAAGGAACTGTAAAGTCATGCCCGGAACAAGAGAAAAACTCGGACATAAAACATAGACATTAAACAATGGACAGAGGAAAGAGCGCATTCAAGGAAATGGGGACCATTGATGATATCGTTATCTCTTCAAATTTTAAGAGAAAGCTGGATAAAAAAGAAAGGAAACTACGTGGTTGACCTTGCAATTCTTCACAATTCTCCGAAATGCCGGACAAACTGTGTAATGTTTGTTACATAACGTATCGTTTCATTTTGCTTTACATATGATTACACTCAAAAACAAGTCTCTCCTTCGCCATCTGTTTATCGGTTATAATAAGAGTCATCCCCAGGAAGGGTTAGCGCAATAGCTAAACGGTACAGTTAAACAGCAGAAAATTTTCTTAAGGAAATTGTGAAAATTCTATGCATTTTCCGTTATAAACCAAACAGACTATTCTGTGCAAATAACATGGTAATTCCCCTTCAAAAACAAATATAAACTGTTAACCGACCCATCAGTCAAATATTTAACTACTGAATGATCAAACGTTTGCCTTCCACTTTATCATCCATCTGTTATAACCGTTTTAAATACACTTTATGTTGTCATCTTTATCCATAATTCCTCTTTGTTATGTTTAGCGTGTTTTACAACGTAAGCTCAATTGCTTCCGGTTAATGATGACGAAATAAGTGAACTAGAAAGTTTCGTGAAATTTTCCTATGGTAAAACAGAGATCTTCCGCTGTTAAAACTTTTGGAAAAATGTTAAACTTTGAAAGTAACATTGACTTTGATTTGATGTCAGAAAAACTGTACAGCATGCAAGCATCTCTTCGCCGTACTTAACATATTTTATTTCCACATTCCACATTTGGCATAGTTTACTATTTTTCCATCCTTTATTTACAAAATTACGCTTCTTACCCCGGTTAGCTAAAAATAAAAGTTTCAATAATTTCTTTTCCAAAACAATAAATTGATAGTCCACAATACTTATATACAAATATAGTTTGTCGTATGGAAACATAAAGTAGTGAGTGAAAGTAAAACAACCGTTCTATTCAGCCCCGAAGACTGCTTCCCGGATCACATTTTAAACAAACAAAAATTGACAGATTTGTGTATTAATTGCTTGGAAATGAACCTGCATATATTTCCATCCGGAAGAATTTATATAATTTGGAACATTTATAAAATTATCCCTCGAGCTTCATAGCTGACTTTCAAGCATTCATTTCGGCAAACATAATTAACGGAATCTTACACTCATTTTGTGGGAGTCAAAAATAATGCAGAAATGTAGAAAATCTAAATAAAAAACTGTAATTAATTAAGTGAAAGATAACAGAGGTATTGACCGTTTACTGAGAAATGACCGTTTATTTCACTCTCCACTGAAGCATAACCATTGCGAACCAGTTGAGAATGGGTTAAAAAGCGAGGCCACGGAATTAACAGTAGAAACTTCGTCCCATTTTACACCTTATGCGTTATTCATGCAATATAGATCTAATCATCAAAAATTTGCCGATAAAAGTGGAATAAAAGTGGATAAGAAAAGAGAACTGAAGAATTAAACCAAAACTATAAGAAACAATGAAGTGAATATAGTTTATAATATAAGGTGAGCAGAAAGTGCAGAGGGGTTAAATAGAGAATCTTGTTTTACAAACTCATTGATCAGGCAAGTGACACAAACAACTTTCGCGGATTTATCATCTATTGTTTAAAAAGACTTTCCAATTCCATCATAACAACGGCAACAACTTTTAAAGACGGAAATGAAAATAGTTTTTACAGAAATTATTTAAAAACCTTAATAACAGTTCAGAAGTAACGATGAACAATTATCATAATAGATATAACACTGTTAAAACTAAAAATTTCAATCATGATAATTCACCTATTAGAAACATTTTAAATAGTTCGAAGTTCGACATTACTTTAATTAGCAAATACGAAGAATAATTGCTTAGTTTGATTAATATGTTTCGCGAAAATTGCAGGAATGCAAAGAACGATACTTACCTTTATTCTATCATGAAGGATTTCAATTTCTCAATTCTCACATTTTGAAAAAAAGAAAGATAAAACTATAACTGAATAATAAGAACGAACAGTCTTCTACTACTCTCTTATGTAAATGAATAAAAGTAATGATGGATTTTCGATTAACATGATTTTATATATCATTTCGACGGGGGATATTTTTTGTTTTTTACCCAAATCAAAAAGTTTCTTAAGGATGCAACAACTGCAGTTAGGCCACTACTTCATTTTTGAAAATACCATTAATAAAATATATCGAATTTATGAGGACAAGATAGTTTACAATAAAAAGATCATATTAAAAATTCAAAGTCATTTGGAAGATTTAAAATATTAATTCATAAAGACTGTGCACAGTTGAAAAAAACTTTAAAGATGATGACGCCACCAGTGCTAACATTTATTTCTGACTTAACTTTGTCACTCATGAAATCACTCAGTTGATTTATCAATAAATCATTTGCTGTTCGACAATCAGTCAGGCAATAAGCTGGCTCCTCTCACGAAAAATTATCGTTAACTTCCCATTCCGTATCAGTCAATTATAAAGAATCTAAAACAGCAAATAACTCGTTTCCGATCAGGAAGTTCTATACTTAATATCAAGAATTCCGGAAAGCAATTTGCGAAAATTTTGTAGATTGCTCCTCTACACCTTCTCTAAAGCCTCTTTAAAGTCATGGATCTCTAAATGCGTTTCTTACACTACTTCAATTTAACCAATTCATTCGACTAATTCTTCCACCTAGGTATGAATTTCTTACAAATTATTAATTTCTTTCGACTTTTACAATAAATGAAAAATCATGGAGTATAAATTAGCCGAGAAAATATATTTCCGGATTAAAAAAAAGAAGGTTTAATATAATTCAAGGAAATGCATATGCATAATATACAGGAAAAAAAAACTAATTTTTTCTTAAAAAAACGATTTTTTTTATTAGGACAAATGTATTTTGTAGTAGAATGTTTCCGAAAACGTAAACAGACTGAATGACGCTAAGTATCACGCTGGACAGTGCACTGGCTGAAGATTGAATCATACATTTTCGGATGTTCCTTTTAACTCAATTTGTGTTACTCATGCATCTTCAGTTTTTTTCTGCCAGTTGGTGTTCAGCTTACAGAATCCGTAATAAGCGGTAGGATATAGAGATATGGCAATATTCTTAATTAACTGCTAGTTCAGCTTCTCTATAATTTTTCCCTACTTACTGCTAAAAACTTAATTAGATCTAGTACTAATAAATTGAGGATGTAAAAAATTCAGGTATAAATTAATTAAGACCAAGTGTATTCATATTTCATTATTTACGATTTAAAAAACTCAGCATCAAAAATTAAAGTTACATCTTCAGCAGTCAATAGCCAGAAACGAAACATCTACCTTGCATAAATTAAAACTTATTCAAGTCCTAAGTCGCGCCACTTTCTGCAAGGATGAAAAAGCAGGAAGGAAAGAGGTATCATACTTGATCCACTGCAATATATAGAAACCAATCATCGTGTAAAACATTTGTAGGGAAGAAAGACAAACCAGATGCAGTAATGCCGTCGTAGTTATTGTTTTGGGCTCTTCTGTTGATGGAATGCATCGACGGCCTACTAAGCTTACTGCCATTTTTAAATTCTTCAGCAGCAAAACACTGACTTTCCACATCTATATCCTCTTTCTTGATCTAAACAGTGTGTGAAAGAATAGATAAAAACAAAGAGATGTGAAACTAGCATCAATTTGCATTTTACAAGGAATCTTTCAGCCATATACGATTGTGCAGAAATAATTAGTCCTGAAAAATAGTCTTCGAAATAAGAATACAGTCTCAGTTCTAAAGAAATTCGAAAAATGCAGAATGAAAATACAATTCAGGCTTTCCCTTTCCAGAAGAGCGAATGTGACCAAACATCAAGACATCAGTTATATTCTTTGCAAAATGATAGTTTGAGTGCTATGTCGTTTTAATTTTACAACTTATATCTTAAGACTTCGGATTCAAAATATCCGTAGGGGCTGACAGGGTAATCACCAGAACAGCCATAAACAAAATTGAAACTGATATACGTTAGATCGTACGGAACAAAGAAATTACGCTTTTTGCTTTTTATTTGGGAGAATTTTGAAACAGTGAAAATGCGGCAAATTTTGGAGAAATCACTATTCTTTCCCATGTCAACAGTGTTGAAAGAAAACAGCTTACTTGAGCAATTATACTGTCCACTGAATTTACCATCAACGACTAGCAGATTTTGAACAGTACTGCAAAAATCCAGATAAGTAAAACAGTGCAAAGCGTTTCGAATTTTGCTGCTTTTCACTTTTGACACATTTGTTCCCGATATTTTTTGAAAATTAAAGCATTATTTAGCCTGAAAAATCTGGGAAAATTTTCACTTTACTTTAGTGTTTTCGACATCACCAAGTTATCAGATACTGCTATGATTATCCTGAAAATAATTAGACATAGTCTGACTTGAACTTCGTTAATCTAGATCCCAGATCCATATCGTACGGTTCAGGTTCACAATGACTTGTTTTAAGTAAATCTAAAAGTCCAACATTCAGTAGTTTCTCTTCAGCTTTGCAGTATTTCGATATTATCTGGCTGCATACATAATTACATGACCACACATTCATTGTTAAATTTATGTGGAAAAGATTCCAGTTTCTCTTTATTAACTATTACTTACTGAAAGCTAAACGTTTAAAGTAACAAAATTTTAGAATTTTTAGAATAAAATGAAGTGGTTCTAGGATTTAACATATAGGATTATATATATATATATATATATAATGTTTAATATAGGATTTAATATACCGCATTTTTCCTTCTCTTCAGCAATGAAATAATATCGAAGTTTGATGACAGAAGTAGATTTTTAAGTACAGCAACCAGTATCGACAATTGCTGTCCGATCGATCTTCGTTCAGTACAGACCAATAAACTTCGTCGTCAATGTTTTGTTCCTGCTCCCTGCAAACATATCTCTTTTCGTTGAAATCAAAGAAATCAAATTTCCTGTGACTTCGATGAACTTCCCGAGAGTTTGAGATAAAATAAGGTTCAAGGAATACAATAACCAACAGAAAGACTTGACAGGTACTTTATTTTCTTGCAATATGACCAAAAATAAGCCATTCGAACATGCTGAAAGATTATCTATGTAATCTTTTAGCATTTTCGAAGTTTTTTCAACAATGGGTTATTTTACATGAATTTTTTTTTACATGAATAATTTGCTTGCGTATCCGTAAAACCGCAAGTAACGCAAGTTCACAAAAAACGAGAAATCCAAAAAAAATGAAGTGAGCTGTACTATCAAACAAGCAAAAATCATAACTTGAACCTTATAATATATTTCAACTACTGGAAATATGTGCATAAAATGTTTAGAACAATGAGAAATCAAAAAAATCCAATCGCAATATCTTTCTAGAAGTTAAAATTTTATAGTTACATGACTTGTCACTGCACGACCAGGCCCACACAATCAAACTGCTAATAAATTCGAGGTAATCTGAAGTACGGAGCCTTAAATTTTACAGAAGGAGAAAAAACATCGATCTTCATATACAATCCATATAAATAGTCCATATAAATTACTAAAACTTCCCTTTTTTATTTAACATCTTCAGAAAAAGATAAACAGAAATGATGAAAAATATAATACCATAACAATAACTTGTACCGTAATTTCAACAGTGCCCTATCATTAATATACATCGTAAAAGTCGAACGTTGGTGTGCAGGTAAAGGAATATATAACAGAGAACTAGCACGGCCACAGAGCATAGATGAGGTCTAAACAAAATCAGCAGGATTACATTTTGATGCAAATCATGAAACAACATGCCATATGTTCTATATATGTCTTGTGCCTTCGTGAAGTTTCGGTCTAACCAATGGGATCTCTCAAACTAGCATTTTAGGAATAAAACTAAAAGCGAAGTAACATCATTAAGCCAGTCAGGTACAAAACAAATATTTTCGAAACTTAAAACTTACTTTTACTCATTATTTGCGTCAGTTCAACCATTTATCGCTAATTTATAATAATTTTAGGTCGTCCTAAGCTAGGTCACTTTTTCATCTAGTTGCCTATCCAAATTTCCTTATTCCGGCTAAGAATGGCGCTTACTAGAAGTGAAAAACAGCTGTTTTTGATATGGACAATAACTTTTGAGTGAAAATCCGGTGAAACTACTTATATATATATATATATATATATATATATATATATATATATATATATATATATATATATATATATATATA